ATTATGTGTGTGTTAAAAAGTGAATGATGGAAAGACTAGATTAAAAATTGATTGAAAGAGTCAAGTAAATTATGTTAGACTTTGACTTGAAAATAATGAGATTGGAGGACTATGACATGATAATGAATAATGTGTGGCTATGCATCATATAAATATGGCATAAATCAAAGAAGAAAAATGACATTGATCCCAACGATCATCAAAATTTTGTAGAAAAACATGTTTAAATATAAGAACGAGAGATGTGTGTCGCATGGGTGGGTTATGGATACCTTAAGAATAAATACTAGCCAAAACTCAAAATTTTCACAATATTTAACATTTTATAACCAAATAAATATATATACATGTATCAATAGTTAGCATTTAAAACCAAATTAGTAATCACGTCATTATATGTTTTATATTGAATTGAATATTAACATAACACATTATCTGTTAGTAATTTAATTAAAATATTTACCAACAATTTTTAAAATAAAATTACATGAACAATGGCTATCTTAATATTTGACAATTTTGTAGGTTAATAAAATAATATTTTTATAGTAAGAATTGAAAATAAATATTTTTATATAATAAATAAAATGGTTTTATTTATTGGTTTTATTTTATATAATAAATAAATAATTTTATACTAAAACTAGTGCAATAAGAACATCATAATATCCCAAGGCATTGTACTGGCCGAACCGACAATACCGTCTGAATTATGGGGTCCGTCTAGGCCCGGCTTGTACCGGCCCACTTTACATAAATTTCACAAAAATAAGGTCACGTGATTAACATTTAAATATAATTATATTTTAAAAGTTTATATAAGTTCATGGTTAAACAGGGTAGCTCTCAAATTAGTTTGAATATTTTTTATCTTTAAAATTTTTACTTACTAATATTTTGATTTATATTTTTTATTCTTATTTGTAGTAATTTAAGTAAAATATCATTTTTTATTTAAAAATATAAAACCTATTTTAATTTTGTTAGTAAATTAAACGAGTTAATCCACGAATATGCGTGATCAACCTATTTAAGTTACAAGTTATATGGACCAAACTTAAAAATTGAGGACTTTTGCCAACCAAAACACAGGACGAAACGCATGTACTCTACTCTCAGTACAGCCTGTAAAGGTAATAAGGTTCCCAAACTTCCTTAGCATTATCATAATAAGAACAAGGAATACGTGTTAAGTTCTATTAATCCCAAACTTAAAAAACAATTGAGTTTTTTTCTTAATTGGAATTTCATATTTTTAAGAACTTTGAAAGAACGCACTACAAAAATTAGTTATTATAGGTGATGAGTCTAAAGTTTTATAAAGTTTACGTTAAAACTACATATTTCCAATGTAAAACTCAAATCTTATACGTGTGTTACATTATAATTATGTGATCTTTATGTAATTTTTGTTTTCAATATTCTGACCAAGTGTTTTCATATAAATAATTGTGAGATTAAGCGTGGGACCACAAATAATGATTAGGCGAAATCTTTATTACTTTCACTGCAAGATTAGACCACAAATAATTTTCAATCTAAGGTTAATGCTATATTTGCTTGTTACAGTTTACTTTGACTGCAAATAGCTTATATTAAAATTTGTCTCAATTGTTATGTCTATTATTACTTTCATTTATTTTTTAAAATATCATTTTTCTTTTATAATTATATTATTAATAGAGATACTTTGGATAAAAAATTTAAATAGAAATGACAATAAACATAAGAGAGAAAAAATTTCTTAAACTTTTAATTACAATTTTATACTGTGTAAAATAAATTATTTTTCAGTAAATTTTTCACTAGCTAAATTTGATAATTACAGGTCATTAGCCCTGTCCTCATTAATACGATTTCTAGTTCACTTTTTGTATTAAGAGATAATGTTAACAATGTTTTCTTATTTGATGAATTTTTGTAAACCCTACGCCTCTAGTAAATATTTTAGATATACTTTCTAAATAGTCAAACTTATAAAAAAATTCATTTAATAATAATAATAATAATAATAATAAGGTTTTAAATCACAAAATAATTTTCAAGCCAATGATGATTGAATTTCACTATAAATAATATTAAAATTATAATTATAAATAATGTTCTTTTATTAAAAAATACATTATATTATAAAAGTTAAAGCATTAATAATATTAAATACTGTAAATTTTTAATAAAATTATATTATTTATTGATTTTTTATTCTGTGTCTAGCAATATATATTAAAAAAATGTTTTAAAAAATGTTAACATTAAATTTTAAGTCAAATGTAAACATTTAATAGTATTATAATTTTTTAAAAAATAAATGTATATTATATCTAAAATATAATAAATTCCTTGTTTCTAATAAAAGCTTTTTTTTTAATATTATATACTCCCATATTTATATTACACTTCACTAGGTATGTTAATCTAAAGTATCTTATTATGCGTCGTCAGTTTAAAACAGTGGGCTTTTTAATTTATGATGCATGATATTATCATTAAAAATAAAAAATGAAGATATTAGGATAAACACCTTGATCACATAATAACAATGTGGAGGGTCATTCCCTCTTCAAACACATTCATGCAAACCCGTTCCTAATGTAATACTCAGCAAGCGAAGTCCAAAGCTTACTCTCATCGTCCACAAAGAAGATACAACAAACTTGAGCTAAATGTAGAATACCCACTTGAAGATAAATTGAGAAAAAACTCAAAATCTCTCTGGTAAACAGAATTAGAACCGTGCTTACTCAGTTGCCAAAAAAGGGAAATCAAAGCATTAAGTGTGGAAATGTTGAAACTTTTTAAAGAACACCGAGAACACACTTGAAAGTATTTATTATAATGGAGTTAAAGCGGATTCCGAGGACTGAAGAAGAAAAGGGTTTTCTTAATTCATTATTACTTTTTTAAAATAATATAAATATTTTTTAAGAACTGTTTTTGAAATATTAATTTTAAATAATAAAATATTATAAAAAATAATGAGATCAATAACGAGTTGTACTTTTACTTAAAAAAGAAAAATGAATAACATATACTAATTTCAAATATTTTTAAAATATTATTGATTAAATTTTAATACTTTTTTTAAACTCATTTCAATGGGTTTTATTTGTTTATAGGTATAAAAAACATCATGAAACTCATTATTTACTGTTTTATATCATTGTTCATAAAATAAAATACTAAAATAATTTTGTATACAATTCAAATTTAAAATAACTGATCCTTATAGTTTGAAGAATCAAGAAGGATATTTATTCAATTAAACGTCGGCACGGGTGTCCTGTTACGGAGTGGTGGGTTGTGAATTATGGCTACGCTTGGTGGTGCGGAAGAGATTTCAGCCATCAAGTTTGGTCTCCGAGTTGCACGGCAGGAAGAGAGGTTTCCAGAAGATAATATTCAAATCGGAAAGTAAAAGCATGCTCTGATTGGCCTTGTTTTATGTGAGGAAAATTATGATTTTTCTTACATGAGCCAAAGCCAGAGTTTTGTTTATGGCCAATAAACCACAATTTTGCCAACAAGGAACAATCAGCTTTAAGAAAAACGAAGATCAGCGTGTCTTAGGTTGTTGGACAACGACCAGTTCAAGAGGTATGGAAATGAGGAACAGACATGGGCCACCTGGTCAAAAATAAAAAATAGAAGCCTATATGGGCCATGAGAATCAGCTTGTACAAGATGTTGATAATGGCGTATGGAATCTGCGGGTGTGGGAGGCCACTAACACACTATTTTATTGAAATATTTTGTTAGACCAAGAGAGAAAGAAAAGAGTTTTGAAGGAGAGGAAAAATGTGTAAGGTTTTTTTTATAATTTTTTCTGTAATTTAAAAATTTAAACCAAGAAGAAGGAAAATGAAAGAAACTAAAATAATGCATTAGTTCTAACTTAATTTTGGCTTCTCCTTAAAATTAGCAAAATTTGGAAGGAGTGTAAAATTTGTCGTTTAAGAATATTTGCGTTATTGCAAGGGTATAATAACATTTTTTTCTTCTTTCCTCACAAAACAATCAAAGAGAAATGAAATATTAAGTTAAAAATTATAAACTTTCAACAATCTTATAAAATATAAGTTGTAAATTTTTAGTTGATTTTACTAAATATAACTTGGAAATTAGTTTGAAGTTGGCTGAACGCCTAAAGCCAAATAGTTAAAGAGTGGCGATATTTTCTGAGAGACCCTCAAAGCAGAGACTAGCAGCAAATTTAGAAGCATATAACGATAAGAGAACAAAACATATTTCAACATAAAGGATAGCTGAACTTATCAACTTGAGCTGCGAGTCCCACATTGATAATAATTAATGTTATTGTTTACAGAGAGTCACATGGCGATTTAAAAAACCACTCAGCTTCTTTTTGGGTAACAATGAGGGTGGTACTGGTACGGGGCTTGGCAAATTCCGTCACATCTAAATGATGTATCTTAAACTGGAATAATCTCTTACCCTTTGTATTTGGTAGTCATCGATGAGTACTATGGATATCTTAATTTGTTTTTTTTAATTTAATTTCACATAAATTAATTAGTAATAAAGGTTTTATTCAATTATAATTTAAACTAACTAAATAAATTGATTCTAATATCCAAATGTCATTTATATTTACAACGATAATGCTTGAAAATTAAATTGTGACTAAATAAGAAAATGTGTTTTTGCATATCTCGGGGCTTAGGCTTTACGGTTTCATTGGGCCACAAACATAAGCTGAGAGAAAGAAAGAGATATAGCATTTAAGCTTTGGACCCAAAGATGCAGAATTGGGCTAAGATGTGAAGCCTTTCTTGGGACCAAAATTAATAAAAAAGAAGGCGAAAATGGTAATTTTGTTATTTTTCCTTAGGCGAAGATGGGGGGAACTTCCAAGACGTTAGGAAAACCGACGTGGAGAACGAGGATTGGTTGGAACAACCAAAGGTTGACGGTGATTGGTCAGTTTCGAAACGAACACGTTTCATTGCGTATTGTCGACTCCGTAGTCAAGTCTTGGCGGAATCCCTTTCAGGTCTGCCACTGTAAAAAAGCAACGGCCACAAGAGAAGAAGCGATTCATTAATCATAACACATTTGATTTCTCATCCCAAACCCTAATCCCCAATTTTGATTCCAATTCCTTCAAGATCTGAGGGAGCATAGCAGAGTCCTAAAATTCCGTTTCGGAGAGATCCAAGTCTCTCGTGATCTTCATCATGGCGCATCGAAGAGCCAAGTTGTTGTTCCTTCTTTGCGCTCTCTGCTATTCTCTCAACGCCATTGCTGGGTACTCTTTCTCTATGTTCTCTCTTCCTTTTAAATTTTAACTTTCCCTGAAACAGTAAAGCACTTTATATTTTGTGCCTAGTATCATTGCTTATAGTTTGTATATATTGTTTGGTGGGTTGCAGAAAGAGCTATTATGATATACTTCAAGTATCGAAGGGTGCATCGGACGAGCAGATAAAGAGGGCGTATAGGAAGCTGGCACTGAAGTACCATCCTGATAAGAACCAGGGCAATGAAGAAGCTAATAAGAAATTTGCTGAGATTAGCAATGGTATATATATATATATATATACATATATTTATTTGGTTGATTTAATTTCAATGACCTGGTCTATTATGACCATTTATGTTGGTTTTAAGGGGTTGTTATTGTTGCTTCTTTTGATTGCTATCACTATCAGCATATGAAGTTTTGTCGGATAGCGAAAAGAGGAGTATTTATGACAGGTATGGTGAAGAGGGTTTGAAGCAGCACGCTGCTAGTGGAGGCCGAGGTGGTGGAATGGGAATGAACATCCAAGATATTTTTGGCTCGTAAGTGTTGCCTTAGCTTTTGCCGGATTGGTTCTTAATCTATCACCTTTGATATGTATGTTGCATCAAATACGGATCCAAAGCGGCAATTAATACAGTTTTTCCATATAATCCTATTAACATATTCTTATAAGAATATTTATATGGTTTTATTGATTCATTGAGTCCCTCATGTCTGCATCAATTTTGCTATGGCACCAATCTCTATCTGGCTATTGATTTGTGGGCTAAGATTAGGTTACAGTCCTGAATAGGCAGACTCCTAGGTTTTGGATGTATGTTAATTCTGCAATTCTTGGGTGTTTAGTTTTTAGTAGGAGCTCTGAGCTTGGTTTTATGAATGACATTGTGAAACATAATTGTTTGTTTTAGTTTCTTTGGTACGGGATCCATGGAGGAAGAAGAGAAAATTGTAAAAGGAGATGACGTTGTTGTTGAATTGGATGCAACGCTTGAAGATTTATACATGGGAGGTTCCTTGAAGGTGAGGTCGCATCCAGTTACTGTTCTGAGCATATGCATTTTTGCTATATATCTGCTGATTTGTTGTAAAACATTCCATTATTGAACTTCTGCAATTTTTATTCTAAGGATATAGATGGATATGGGATAGATTCAAGATTATCAATTATCAAAATGGTTTTTTCATGTGCTGCATGGTAACAGTAAAGTACGCCTTTATTTAGCTACATCAGCCTGTAGAAAATTATAAGTAAAATTTTTAGCAGCTAGGAAGAACTGCACTAAGAGCTGAAAAGCAGAACTTGATTCTGACACACATAACGTATTCCACATTCATATGGCATCTGATATTTTTGGTAGCTGTTCTTATTTCCTTTTCCAATTTATCTCAGATACTTATAGTCTGTATTATACCCTATTAAATATATTAATTGAGGAAGCACTTTGGCCACTAGCTAAGCATGGTTGTAAACTATCATAATGATTAACAGAAAAATAGTGAGTTGAAACGTAGAATTTCTGAGTTTGCATTGTAATTTTCAGGTTTGGAGGGAGAAAAATGTAGTAAAGCCAGCTCCTGGGAAGAGACGCTGTAACTGTAGAAATGAGGTTTACCACAAGCAAATTGGGCCTGGGATGTTTCAACAGATGACAGAGCAGGTAAACAGAACCTCTGAGAATGTTGATATAAAATACATACTCTCCTTTATTGTTGGTACTTTTTTTAGGATGCCAATACAACAAACACACGGACTTCATGTTCCATGACATCTGACTGTAAAATGTTTATTTATTGCTCATGCTCAGAATTTTTTTTACTTGTCTGCATGTGTTTGAGAGACTGAGGGTTGTGCAGATATCTTTTAATCCTGTTGTTGCCATATGTGGAAATTTTCACTCCCTAATTTAACTGTCCAGGTCTGTGAGCAGTGTCCTAATGTCAAATATGAAAGGGAGGGGTATTTCATCACTGTTGATATTGAGAAAGGCATGCAAGATGGGCAGGTAAACTTTAAAGTTTATATATAAACTTTATGTAAGTATGCATAATATCATGTCTTATTACCGATTGTCCTAAAAGCCCTAATATCTAAAGTGTATCTAATCGTGTATACATCCAAATTCTGAAGACAATAGGGTTCTGTTTAATAATTCCTATTTTAGTTCTGTCAGGACTCAGGATTAATTCTACATGTTAGATTGAACAGCATAGAGTATTTTTAAATTCTCTATTGTGTCACTTCAACTGAAAAAAGTTCTTGTAATTATTACCAATTATACCTGTTTTTTCATTTAGTTTATTTATTAGCATTAAAAAGTGAGAACAAAATCCATCAATTATAGCCTCTGATGCATCTAAAAAAGAAAAACATTTTTATGACATTGTCCAATGGCCATATGTATAAACAGTTCATTCGCCCTTGCTGTAAGCTAGCACAAAAATTGAAGTTATTTTTGGTTTTCAAACTATCTACACTTTTGTAGCACATATATCAAATTCCTGGCTGTGTTGATATTGTCAATGGTTCCAAGTTATTTAGTGGAGGCATTTGTTGCAATTTTTGATTGCTATATAATCCGAGCTTTAGTAAAAGTTGAAGAAAGTGTTCCAAGTTTGGATAAACAACACCAACAGCCAGAGCCTTTCTCAGTACTTTGGTTTAGCTACTTGAAGTCTTGAACCAATAATTGATGCTGTTATGCACGGGTGAGATAAATCATGGAACCAAAAACTAAGAATAAAAAAAAATGTGAATCGTTCCAAACTTTAGAAGGCCATGTTTCAATTTTAAAGGTGTGCCTAGTTTAGCTGAAAATAGGCAAGTGGAAAGTTTGTAGTGAAATTTACTTTACACAGCCGTGGGATGGTTTTAAATGGATCCTTGTTTTAACTTCAGCTCAACGAGTGGTAAAAAGAAGGTTTTTCCATTTACCTAGCACCAAGGAGTGATAAGCTAAAGCTTTCTATCCACTCCACTTTCTCTATTTTACATTTCTACCAACTGAACTCTGTAGCGGAATGTCAATAATACGCTTTTTTATTATTGGCTGAAAGTAATTGGAATTCATGAAGTTGTGATTCCTACTCCGTATTTAATGGATCTCCCACATGGTTTCTTGAAGCATGTGTTAGGACTGCGGGGGAGGATATGGTCTCAAATGGGGCCTAGCCCACACCATAGAGTTTACACTAGAAGAAAGAAGAAGTGTATAGACAAGGAGAGTGATGTGATAGAGAGAGAAGTAAGTGATTAGCCAAAGTAAGGAGGGAGTCCGTTATAGTGGGACTGGTGTGTGAGAGGGAATATCTTTTGAAAGTTAGTTCTGGATGGAGAGCACTAGCTCTCCGTAGGATCCTAGCTCTGGACAGTAGTATTCATTCTACTGATTTTTCTTTTAGATCAAGTAATACCAACATCATTTCCTCTGTTTCCCTCGTATGAGTTGTTTAAATTCCTTGTTGATTTTACCGGTTTGTATCAGCATGTGTTATTAGTATCTCTCTACTTTTTAAGGTGTTTTAAAATCTAGTTAATTGAAGTCCTATAGAAATTACAAGTTCTTGTCCATTCACAGGAGGTGCTATTTTATGAGGATGGCGAACCAATAATTGATGGAGAGTCTGGAGATTTAAGGGTTAGTAGTTGTCAGTTTTTGTATGCATGTTATTATGCGTGTAGCGGTGTGCTGACAATTCATATTTGAACAGTTCCGTATCCGTACTGCACCGCATGACTTTTTCAGACGAGAAGGCAATGACTTGCACACTACTGTCACTATAACTCTGGTAAGTATCGCTCTTGTTGATATGCATATCATTTGCTACTGTGCCTTTTGGTATTATCAGCATGTTTAAATACAACATGTTGATTTTGCAACCGTTACTTGCTCTCAATTGGGGTTTCTAAAATTCTTTTCATTGTAAAGTTTATTAACCTTAATCATCTTCAGGTTCAAGCCCTTGTTGGTTTTGAGAAGACCATTAAACACCTAGACGAGCATCTGGTAGACGTAGGCACAAAGGTGAGCATGAAATATCCATGTTTCAGATCTCATTCGTGTTGATGTATTTGTGCGTGCGTGTGTGTGTGTGAGAACACGGTTGACAGACATCTTTTGAATCCGCAGGCAATCACAAAGCCAAAGCAGGTAAGAAAGTTCAAAGGGGAGGGCATGCCGTTGCATATGAGCACCAAGAAAGGAGACCTTTACGTCACTTTTGAGGTTCTATTCCCCACGTCACTAACGGAGGAGCAGAAAACAAATATAAAAGCAATTCTTGGTTAGAATATACACAAGGAACGTGTTATTACGCTCATTACGTTATGTCCTCTTGTGTCCTCAATGTAACATGATAGGATGTTAGAGTAAATGCATGCCTTGGGCCTCTCGCCCCCCTTTTTTTGTTAGTTGACAAATAGATACCTCCCCCCTCCCATTCATAATGATGCGGATCCTGTAAGCCTTGCCGTCCTGGTGAATTCAAGTGCCTTCTTTGCGGTGCTATTTTGATGCCATGAGAAAAAAAATGCTTAAGTTAGCTTTGTTCTGTGTCTTCATCTCGTGAATTGTAGAGTTAGACTTGATTGCATATCTCATTTCTTTGTGGTTTCTGCCTTAACCGGTGGTTGACACTAACATAAAATGAGTAAATGTTTGGAGATGCGAGTGAGTTACAGTCTCTTCGATGATGTTGTCAAACACAAGGTCGTCTTACTGAAGTTGGTATATGTGTCGTTGTTGAAACGTAGAAAACAATGTTGATGGACCCCATTAGTGTGATTCATAATATTTTTTTATTGTTGCAAGCATTTGACTATGATGGCAACGTATTTTTGCATTTACGTCTGAGTATCACTCATATTTTGACTGTTCTATTTACTCATCTAAACTTTTTAACATTGTTATGCGTATATGACATAGTATTTTCATAATTTATTTAAATCAATGATTGAGGTTAATTATATGATTGATGTACTTTAACTTAATACTTTCTCATTTCTTAATTGGAAGGCACTTTTCAAATTATTAAATTTTGTTCAGGTTAATTAATAGTTTTACATTTAATTAAAATATGTAGCTTTTTTTTAAAATTATACTTAATTAAAAAGTACTGATTTTACTTATTCTCTCTGTACTTTAATTTTGATTTTGATTTTTCTATCTAAATGATTATTGAACCTTTTGAGAAAAAAGTTCTCCTCAGTCTTTTTACAATTATGAAAGTATTTTAAAATTAAAACTTTCATTTAAAATATAAAATGTAAAAAAATTGGTTCCCATGATGTTTGCACACCCATACGCATGTTTGTTGCATCTTTGGCATTAAAATTAAGTTTTAATTCATGTTCTGAAGTGGCGCTTATATCATTATAGGTTTTATAATTTGTATTATAGTATAAATAGATTAAAAAAAAAATTTTAAAATACTTATATATTTTTATAGTAAATAAAGTTATTTATAGTGAATGAAAAAAATAATAAGGGTATTTTAATATTTTCTTAATATTTTTATGAAGATAAACATTTTAAATAAATTGAAAATTTTAAAGTAAAAAGTAATTTGAAACTGAACATAATAAGAAAGATGTGTAGGCAACGCCCACACTTAATTGATGCTATACTCAATTTTGTTTTTGTCGTGTCTATACTCAATATTTTATATAATAGTAACAGCTGCAGTCTTGGTTGGGTTGACCATTGATTTGCTTCCACCGTAATTTTTGACCGGTGTTTCTTAACCGTATAAACTACATGCACAAGATCGTTGGTATGAATCAATATTTAATTATTTGCTTTTCTTAATTGCATAACATAACTTGTACTTTTTTTTATATTTTCCCTTTTTTTTTATCATAACCTAACTTGCACTTTAGTAGCAATCAATATTCATGATTATGTAAATATTTATTGCTTTGACTTTCGTGAATTATTATTTGGGATTTATTTTTTCTTACACTACTCTTGTCCAACTCCTTTATTTCGTTTGAAATTATTGATAATAATAAAGAAATATATTAAATAACTTCAATTATGGATACTAATGAAAATCAAGTTTAGTCAAAGAAGTTAATCCCCTATAATGCAATAAATCACATTTTTATCTTTGTTGAGATATTTATTTACAGTCAATGTGTATCAAATTCTTAGAATTTAAGACCCCTTCTTATATAACACTTGGGACGAGATTTGAATCGTGCAAACCAATTTTTGAAATACTTTCAAATGAATTTATTTAATAAAAGAATATTATTCTAATTTTCTATTTATGGGTAAAGTTTAAAAAAAAATCAATTATCCTTTTATTTTTTATTTTTTATTTTATCTGAAAAGATAGATAAAAACAAAGATGATATTATATATTATCAGATAATTAATAATTATAAAAAACAAGACAGCAATTGTTAAGTACAACAGGATTATTGCAAGTTAGCCTATTGTTTTATCAATTTTATGTGAGATTAATAATGAACATTGTCACTGCTTTGAAATTACTATTACAAGATACTCTTAATTGTTTTATATTTTGAAATTTAAACTTCAACCAACTAGCTGTGTGATTCGATTATCTTGTCACCATCTCTAATTCTTGTAATAATGCCTTCTTTTGTTAGACCTCAAAGTTGTTTTTTATTTTTCATAATATTGTTTATATTTATCTTGATGAGTTTATTTCAATGCAGCATTTTGAAAATAAAAAAGAAGTGTAGCTTTTGAATGTGGCGACTAGGAAAGACACGGTAACGGTGGTGCGTGACAAGGAGGATCTCTCCAAAAAGATAGGAACAGAAAGCTGATGACGAAAGTTAAAAGCATGAGGGACAAATCAGTGATTGTAGCCATGTTGTTCAAATGCACTTTATACGACGTGGCACTTCCCTGAAACATCGCGTTTTGCCATGAAACGACACAATTGCGACCACACCCACGTGCGAATAAAAATTTCTATTTTGTGAGAGCCAAATCAAAAGTTGCGTGTTTCCTTGCAAAGTTGGAGAGCCTGAGAGAGATTAGCAACAACATTTCCTATATTTGGCGATCCGTTTGGTTCCAACCTTTACTTTTTCTTCTTTTGATTTTTCTTCTAAGAATTTCAAGGAACCAACAAACGGAACCTGAAGCTGAAGAATCTTTGGGTTCCATCATCGTTCTCTGCAAACCAACACACGCAGTCTTAATAATCATTACATAACAAAAACAATGGATACTCTGTTATTAAGAAGTAGCATTTCCATTCCCATTGCTGTAACTGCACGCGCCAATGATTACGCGTCACAGTCTCAGGTTAGCACGGTGGGGTTCTCCTCCGTGTTTTCTAGATTCTCCTTTAGACACCCTTTGAAGTCGCTGTGGCCACAGCCGAGTGGCAAGGCCGCCGGCTACAAAGGGCTCGCCGTCGACGACGCCGTTTTGGCGGAGAATGGAACGGCGGAGCTTGAAGGAGAAGGAGAGCGTCAAAACGGAAACTGGGTTTTCAAGATTTTTCATGTCAGGTCTGTTTGGAATGGGGAGCGAAGGAGCGATGCAAACGATGAAGATGAAGTTGTGGCGAATGATGGAACGAATGAAGAGGAGTGTGATGGTTGTAAGGTCGATGATGATGATGAGGATGAGGATGAAGAAGAGGTTGAATTCGATAGAGACTCGTTTTCGAGAATGCTACGGAGGGTGTCATTGGCCGAAGCTAGATTGTATGCGCACATGTCCCACTTGGGCAACTTGGCATACTCTATTCCAAAAATCGAAGTATTTTAATTCTTCTATTTCTTAGTTTTTTATTTCCAATTTTTTTAGCAACGGAACATCTTGATATAAATGAATCAGATTTCTTACTCTCCTCAATTGACATCGGATCCACCCTGTTATCCTTAATTTTTCTAATTTTTTTATAGACTGATCTGGAATTTTGGATGATATCTTTGAATCCCATTATGTCAGGCCAGTGATAGGTATATAAATCTGCATTTTAAAAGGTTTAATTTCGATGTAACACCAGTATAAAAATGCATTGCTCTAAGTTTTGGTGATTTTTATTTTTGTAATCAAAATTTGGAATTTTTGGTTTTCCAATAACGGGTACGGTAGGTCATACTAATTTATATTTTTTTCTTTGTTTAATTAGCCAGGGAAGCTCTTGCAAAACTCTGGTCTACGTTTTGTAACTTCATCCATAGAAAAGAAGGAACTAGCTGTGGCAGCTGAAAAAAATCAGGCATGTGGTGGAACTCAGAAAGAAGGATGTAATGAAAAGGATGTGGGAGAAAGAAAAGAGCAAAAGAATGGTGTATGCAAAATAAGTGCATCTGCTGCATATGGGATTGCTGCTTCTGCTGCCTCTTATCTTCATGCTCAGACAAGGAGCATACTTCCATTCAAATCTTCTGATGATGGGGTCAGTGAAGCTTCACATGAAGCAAGCAATGAAAGCTGTGACAGTGACAGCAAGAGGAACACTGAGGTGGCAGCTTTGAGAGCAACTACTGATTCTATGACAGCAGTGGTTGCTGCAAATGAGGATGTCAAGCAGGCTTTTGTGGATGATTTGAACTCAACAAGATCTTCACCCTGTGAATGGTTCGTATGTGATGATGACCAGACCTCTACAAGATATTTTGTTATTCAGGTGTGGTATACTAATCAGGAACATGTTTTTATCTTGTCGTATAAAATGCACTTAGTTAGCAATAATGCATGAGCACTTAAATACGATGAAAGCATGATTGTTATAATTACCACTTTTTAGTTATTTCATTTAGCAGTCATGCGTGAACACTTATATGTGATTTCACAGACAATTTTGGATTTATATTTGCCATGTTCTGTCCAACTAATCATTGTTTTAATATGCAGGGCTCTGAGTCGTTTGCATCCTGGCAAGCAAACCTACTATTTGAGCCAGTTCAATTTGAGGTAATTGTTAATGTTGCAAATTTGTATTTGAAGTGTCAATTTTGTAATTAAAAGTGAAAACAAAAAAGGTTTTCTAAAACCAAACAGCCATGTAATTTCTCTGATACATTTTTTTAGGGGTTGGATGTACATGTTCATAGAGGTATTTATGAGGCTGCCAAAGGGACATATCAACAGATGTTGCCAGAAATTCGTGCTCACCTAAAATGTCGTGGCTCTCGTGCAACATTTCGTTTTACGGGTCATTCTCTTGGGGGAAGCTTGGCATTACTTGTAAATCTTATGCTGTTGATAAGGAAGGAATTTCCAATGTCCTCTCTGCTTCCTGTAATAACGTTTGGCTCCCCATCCATCATGTGTGGAGGTGATAATCTACTTGACAAACTAGGATTACCACGCAGTCATGTTCAAGCAATCACAATGCACAGAGACATTGTGCCACGAGCATTTTCTTGCAAGTACCCTAACCATGTTGCTGAACTACTAAAGGCTGTTAATGGAAACTTCCGTAGTCATCCATGTCTTAATAACCAGGTAAATTTCTACTTCATTCAAAAGAAACAATACATAGAGACTCGTTCTGTTTATATATTGATTTTATGCATACAAAAAGTAGCAACCTCTTATTATATTTTTACGTTGTCTTTCTCAATAAAAGCATGACATTTTTAGTTGCTTAAAATGTAACAACTGATTTGTGAATCTTTTACTGCAGAAGCTATTATATGCACCAATGGGTGAATTGCTGATTCTACAGCCAGATGAGAATTTTTCACCAAGCCATCATCTACTACCTTCAGGCAGTGGTCTATATCTTTTGAGTGGTACTCCTCTCTCAGAATCCAATGACACAGACAAGTTGATCAGAGCAGCACAATTGGTGTTCTTGAACTCACCACACCCACTTGAAATATTAAGTGACCGATCAGCTTATGGATCAGGAGGAACCATACAGAGAGACCATGACATGAATTCATACTTAAAATCTGTGAGAACTGTGATTCGCCAAGAACTTAACCAAATTCGTAAGGCAAAGAGAAAGCAAAGGCGAAAGGCGTGGTGGTCTCTGGTGGCGCCACGTGGAAATCATGAAGGCATTGTTGTTGGGAAGTCCGTTGTATCTGTGAATGTGATTCAAGACCAGCCTCCTTTTTCTGCCATCATACAGACAGGTCGAGAGTCCTTGAAAAGGTTCACTAGTCTTGTGGGCTCTCAACATATGCAATTCTTTGTAGTGCTATTGTTTCCTGCACGTTTGTTACTCTTGGGAGCATGTAACATGATTAGCTTAAGATGAAAACACTATGATGATACTTTATTCTTTTTCCCATTGGGAGTGTTGTATAGGGAGAGGGCACATTGTTGGTGGAACAGTTAGGCCATTCTTTATTCATTGATTTCAAAATTAAATGTACTTGTATAGAAAATATTGCTCAATATTAACAAACCCAATTCTTAATTGCTTTAGCATTCATGTGACTCTTATTTGCTCCAAATAGTACAAGGAATTGAGCTTTTAGGTATGCTTTGTTTGTACAACTAGTATTAGTTATAAAGTTTGCCTATGCGCATCAAGTTACATGTAAAACATTTATTGATGGCATGGAGTCCTCACACAACGAGCTTCGTGTGGTGCTAACATAAATTGACCAAAGTAAATAAACATTCAATATTTGAATACTATTATTTCAATGACAAAATTAGTGAAATTTTTTAACTTAATGCAAAAGTTGTATATTCGCTTCTAACTAAACGTGTTTTTAAAGAGCAAACTTAATTTTAATTTGTTACAATAAAAAAAAATACATATCTGGTGTAGAATCGCGTTTATAATAATAATAATAAAAAAAAAAAAGCCTCACGTTTTGCGAGCTGCTTCCTCGTACATTCGATTAATAGATATCACCCGTGTCTTACGTGAGTAACACAGAACTGCGTGTGTTAAAGGCTGTGGTGTAACTTGAGGAATAGAGCAAACCTCTATATTAATACATGACCTTGTAATTATCGTTAGTTTATTTCTAACATTAATAATAATAAAAACCATTCATTTTATTTTATTTGCCTCATTTCCTTTAGTCATATAAGTTGATTAGAAGGGTAAAGAGAGTGAATGCTTATAATTTCAAACGAATTTATTTACTCAATACTTCACAGTGATTGTTAAATAAGGTGTATAAATTTAGTGAGAAATAGAAAGAGAGATAAAAAAGAAGAAGTTAAAAGTAAAAATAATTTATAGATGTATAAAAATCACAACTCTGGATACGTTTTGCAAGATAGGAGGCATAAAAACTAGCTAGATTGTGTCTAGTCCACTTCGACAACCCATGTTATGCACATGTTGATTCACAATTCACACGACAATCCAAAGATAGCCGACAAGTTTATTAGTTTAACGTAGATTTTGGTCTGAAAACTGGTCAGAGACAAAAGAACAGTCACCACACCATATGGCCATGCCTGAAAATCTGAGTAATCCCTATCCATCCAACAAAGCAAACTCTCTTGACCTTTCAGCGCAATTACAAACGCAGAATCCGATTTGGATATGGTTTAGAGCCATCACTGCCATCATATGCATACCAATCGTGGGGACGTTTTCAATTCTCCTTAACATAATCTTTAACTCTCAAAGAGTCAAATCAGTGAAAAAAAATAATCATCACCCTTTACCTCCAAACATGCCATAAGCCAATAATCGAGATTCATCTTGCTTCTTTGTTAGACTAACCAACCATCTATAAAATCATATTATAATTGCTTTGACGTAATAAAAATACAAGGTGAAAAATAAAACGTATCAAATCTCTCTCTCTCTCTCTCTCTCTCTCTCTCTCTCGCATTTTCATTTGTTGCATTTCTCAGTCGCTCTTTTTTTGGGTCCATTTAATCTAACCAACTTTAAGTTGTTTTTTTCTTTTGGGTCGATTAACCCATTAGTGTTGAATTATCTTATTCTATAGAGAGAAAAAAACCTGGATTGTGGATCAGTGATGTCTATGAAATACTATGAACGGCCCATGTTCAAGCCCGATCATAAATGACGCAAAGGTCTTGGTTAGTATTGACAATTGCTTACACAATACCTCAAAAGAAAATAGGTTAAAAATTTCAACCAGCAATTGAGTGTTTTTTTTTAAGCTTTAATAGAATTAATTTTAAATTTTGAATGTAATTAGAAGATGTGTTTAAATTAATTTCAGTAAAAGTTTTATATTAGAACAAGTGTAATGTAACAATACAAAAAATAGTTATTATTGTAAATAAAAAAACCCTAAGAAACAGGTGGAATATATTTAATAATTTCAAAATATACATTATCATTTTCTTAATTTTTAATTAATAATTTTAATTCCTTTTTCTAATACTGAAAAGTTAAAGTTAGGAGAAACTTCGCTCACATGCAAGTCAAAATAATACTAATCTAATGAGAATTTGTAGTGATATTATACATTTTTTTACTAATAAAATATTTTAATTCAATTCCTGACATGATTAATCATTCTACAGAACATGCAATCCAAAAATAACATGCCGCTTTGCTTTGCTTTGTCAGTAATCCGTCATGGTAAAACGTAATACTATAAGGTAGACTAGTAGGGAGAAAGGAAAACACGTTAATGCAACTTGCCAAAATCTAACTAGTTAATTATATAGGAATAAATACTTTATACAACATGATACATTAAGACACACGTGAATGGCATCGCATTATTTCACTATAGACACGAGCGAATTATGTTAAAATAGGAGCCAACAATACAAAAAATTCTCTCTCTCTCTCTCTCTCTCTCTATATATATATATATATATATATATATAAATGAATAAAGCAAGCATGCTCATATTTATTTGGTGCAAAGGAAACTAAACCAAAAGAGAAGAAAAGTAGAAGGCACGCAATTTCACTTTCATCTGATTCTTAACAGGGACAAAAGTCCTTGGCTTGGTGTTAAATTTCAACCTGTGGGATCAGAAATTAAAGCCTATAATTGTACGATCGCTTTTTTGTTCATCCCTACAATTTATAAGTGGAGACGCCAGCAATCAACCAATCTCTAGTACAAAGGCGTACTCAACTTACTGCATATGACATTTTAAGGCCCAGATACAATTTTTCAAAAGCTTTCATTTGCTTACTTTTCCTACCCATTCCCACTAGCTGAATGCATGCTACTCTATACACAATTATCATGTTTCTTGCCCATACCCTTTTCCGTGGACTTTCATGTTCTGCGCATCACTAATCACACTATATTACCGTGCATAACACATCCATTACGTGGTCTTAGTCTTCCTGATGCGCTTGTTAGATGAATAGGCCTATGAAGCAATTGAATGGACAATAGCCATATCCAGATATCCTCAGATTCCGTATCATTGCTTATTTTCAGAATCAATCCTTAAACAAGTAATAGTGTTTTCAAAAGTCATTACCATTATTCATATATAATATTAAGGTAGAAAATTTAATTGACTAGTTTACATATGGTGACATAAAAACCATTCTAAATGAGGTGTAAAGGTTGTTCACTGCAGACTCAGATCTCTATAAACCTTTCTTTCTTTTTTTTAGGCTCATAATGAAATTCGACTCCCCATGTCCCAAACAATAAGAAAAAAACACATTTTTTTGTACCTTTTCTTTTGTAACTATCTGAATTGCGTTATAGAATTGATTAATAAAAATAGATAATGTTGAAAAGAATTTGTCAGATATTTCATCCAGCACATTGTGCCACCAAGGTTTGACAACGTGCCAGAGAAAACCCTCTAATCCATCATTGTTGGGATGGAGAAGCCACATGATAGCAGCACATGATGCCATTAGCATTATAACTGGCCACGAGTTCCCCTCATGCTCCCTACATTCAAACACGAGGTGTTATTTTTTCCCTCCAAACACATCTTAGATATGTTTCTCTTATCTCAATTTCAACCCGTTTTCCTAAAGCATTTGTTTATAACTATTACTAAATGTGTTCCTCTTAGATAAGTCCACTTAAAATTTAATTTGAAGGAAGAATTTTTAACACTAGAGTCATTGTTCTTTTTATACAATATACAGTAGCATAATAGTAATACAATTTATGATAGGTCCACGAGGTAGAAATCATGTTAATATACGATTCAAAACTAACTCTTTTATGATGGAACTTATAACTTTTTTAAGCTTATGATTCTAATGTTAATTTTAAATTTTTTTGATAAATTTTTTGATACAGCATATTAAAATAAAATAAGTTATTTTTAGCTTATTTTAATAAATTTTATTATTTAATTTATGTTTAAAGTATATTTTTAAAATAAACTATATCTAATCATACCCTAAATTGTCTTAGCAAAAAATGTGAGTCTTACACAGATGCCCTTAAAGACTGTGTCTACGGAATAAAGTATTAAAGAAATGGAGCCCTCGTGAGAAGTACCTTTTCTTTCGCCTCAAGAAATCGAAATATGCTTTCAATACGAATATGAGAGGTTAATGTAAAGAATAAAATAATATTCTGTCAGAGTAGTTGAAGATCACTAATTTGCCAATGGCGCTATATCCATGCTTTTTGCAGAGTTGGAAGAATTTTGTTGTTTACATGAATGATGGAGAATGGAGATGTGCGAGGCATGTTTTCCTCTTTTCCACCAATGCTATTCATCATTCCAAATCTAACTAATAAATATCCCTCTTTATCCTTCTTTTCATTATGAAAAAAAAGAAAAGGAAATTCGTTTTCAGCATTCAAAAAAAGTCTGATCAGTTCAGTATTAGCTGTGTGGCCTTGTGAAGTATACTATACATCCAGCTATATATTCTATGGTTCAAAAACTTCAACTAAAACTCTCATTTTAATCCCCACATCTGGCCCCATTATTTAAATGTTCGCTTCGAGTGGGTTGGGAAGCACTTTTTAGTGCAGGTAGCTAACATGGAAGGTGGGAAGTTATTATTTAACATGGGCGTAGTTTGAATTTGCATCCTCTAACGCTAGTGGCTATGAAGTGCATAATTAATTACTACTATTTCTCCTTTTTCTTTCTAATAAAGGGTTCAGATTTGAAGAGTTAAAATTCTACGTACTGAAATCAAGAAAATGTGAGAACATTATTAAAATATAGAACTAAATTACTGATGTTAATTAACCAATTATGGGGTGAATCAATGACGTATACAGAGTTGAATGATTGTGGATGACTCGAATACTCGAGGCATCTTGATAATATAAAATCTCTTACATTGCTTTTGTGGTTCAAGGGTGAAAAATATGCGAAACATATACTACTATAAAGATAGAGTAAGGTGGAAAAATAAAGTGGCGCTCTTCAAGGAAAAGGGACGTCAAATCTTTTCTTTTAGTTGTTTATTCTTGCCAAGGAAAAAAGGCATCAAATCACTTGCAAGCAAGGAAAGGAAGAAAATTTTCCGGTCTCACAGGGAAATATCGTAAGACTATTGAATTCTTTTATCGCTCCTAAGGAAGCTTCTAATTAGGAGGCAGTGAAAAGAAGGAACTTATAAAGAGATAGCTGTCAACAGAATAGTTAACCCAAAAAATGGTTAAAATTTTACATGTGGGAAATGTTTGCTGTCCTTTACAAGTATAATGAGAAAACGCACCATTATGCATTTGCATTCAACATTTGTTGAAAAATATATCTACAATCCAACTGTAATCGAAATCGAAATCGAAAGCGTTGAATTCCTCTCTCTTCGAGTAGATCTTTTTTTTCAGCTTTGATATTTTCACATCCCATAAAAAATATGAAATAAATGAGAGAACAAAAGTGATAAAAATAAAATAAAGAGAAATGAGATATAAAAAAAAAATATATACAAAAAAATTCTCCTTTGACAGATGGATTTTGACCTATAATTGCTATTATTTGCGGAGTGAAAGATCATAAAGATTTTTTTAATCTCACGTTTTAGGTTGCTTTCACATTTGGATTCAAATCAGCATATGCAAGTGCAAATCAGCCCGTGCATTCAAACCTTTACGTGGCAACAGTTGTATACTTTGTCCAAAGTGACAGCCAGGGAATCACTGTAGGAACACAATAATGCATCTTTTACGTGAGAGCAGAAATACACAGGCTTTTTCTTGAATCAGAAGCCACGCCTCAAATCATATACCATTATTACACTTGGAAGGTTGAAACCCTCATTGATTTCAAACCATCCCCCTTCTTAATTATGTGCGAACTGCGAACCTAAAGACTGCAAAAATTGCTTTGTTCTCTTTTACATACAAGCTCTTTAGCAGGACAAGTCGTACCAATGCAACAACACCATCAACCTCCTCAGACTAGCTAATATCTACCTTTAACTCTCCCACTTCTAACACTTGTTTCATATTATATAGATAGCAACTTATTCAACCAATATTGGATGTACGGAACACATTTGCAAAAAAGCAAAAGAAAGTTGATGACATTTTCAATATAATCCCTTTGTTTTCTCGTATTGAGTGCATGCAGTGCAGATTAGACCCTCTTGCTCTTCTCTTTCGTTGAATGTATACCTGAGGGAAGAGGAAAGAAAAACTAACACCCCTTTTTCTCTGATCACTTCAAAACTGTCCACCACTATAATATGACCACGTTCACATTCCTCAAAGTCATGCTCTATGACATGGACAGCCAAGAAGCAATTCTCCAAACTGTGATTTTACAACCCCCCCCCCTCCCCTTTTTCTCTCTCTCTCTCTGATCCAGGCAAGAGTTTTTTCATAAAACAAACCACGCCAACAGAGGCACGAAGAAGAATGGCCAAAACAAAAACCCAAAACTTGTACACAGCAAATTTTCTGGTAGATACAGAAATGAAGAAAAGTAAATGGAATGTCAGTTTTCGTGATAGACTAATCAGTTAAAAATGTAATTCGAGCAGATAAAGACAAGAAGGAAAAAAGAAAGCCTGAGGAAATCAGCTCCAGTTCCTGTTCCACGCTATTGATACGACATCACCCAGTAAACACTTTATTTCCCATTACGGAACAAAACCTATATATAATTTTTTTTTTCCACGTCCATTAGAAGCACAAGATTACCGTCATCCAAAATCAGTATCACTACTTAAATACGAAATTAAAGAAGGTCCAAGGAAGAACCAAAATCGAAAAGTAGAGTCTTCAGTACTGATAAGCTGTACATCTGATAGATGAAAAGGATAACTAATAAAAGATTAAAAAAAAGAAGGAAAAGGTGACAAAATTTTCCGGCAGTCGAAACATTTTTTTTCCTTTGCATAATTTGTACAATAAAGTGAACGAACCAGAGATTCCCTCTGCCGGCAACATCTCCAACAGCCCCCCCACCAAATTTTTCCATTTTTGACGAAATTGAATCAACAACTCAACGCTTCATACTTCACCGGAATGGGTCGATTAAATCCCACCTGAGAAAGCAAGTTCCCAACCACCGCAAGATCGCGGCAAAAAACACCCTGAAACACTGCCGGATTCACAGTAGAAGAAGCTATCAGAGCCTTATTTTCTACGCTGCTCCTACTATTATCTTCTGGTTTATTATTCGGATTCAGCTCAGGTTGTTCAGTAACTTTGTGTACTTGAAGCGCTTGTAAAGCAGCCTTCTTCCTCTGCTTCTCTGCAGCTTCTTCATCCATTATAGTACTCATCACACTCGTGTAACCCTTCTGAACCAATCTAAACAGCAACAACGCTGACATCTTGGCTTTCTCCTTAACCGAATCAACATCGCGTTCATTCGCAAGCTCACACCGTTCAATGAAATTCGTGGCCTTATCAGGCTTGTGCCGCAAGCAAAGCAATACGTGGGCTCTCTCCAACTCTGATCGTGAACACCCTCTTCGCACGCCAATCAAAGCATAGTAATCAACGTTACCCGTTTCCCCTGAGGCAAGTCTTTGCTTTAGTTCTTGAATTTTGGTGGTGAGGGCACAAAGTTTCCCTGGAATCTCTCTATAGCGCACGTTGTGGCGCTTCCATGCAGGCCCAGGAAGCTTGCGATCACGAAGGATTGAATTGTAGAGTAGCTTCAGGTGTTCGAGGTCGTGGAGAGAATCGGGTAAGCATCGAATGGTTTCGAAGAGTGAAGCTCTTGTGTCGAGGGCTTGAATGCAGGTGGGGTCCAGGGCGAGGGTGCGGTTACAATCCGCGATCGACTCGGCGATTCGACCCACGGAACGGTGTGCAGAGGCTCTGTGCATGTAGCATTCGGCCAGGAAGCTCTGTGGGGCGTTCCGGCGGCCGTCGACGATTTTGGAGAAGTGGCGGATGGCCTCTGAGTAGAGGCCGGCGTCAAGGGCGGCGAGTGCAGCGGCGCGTCGACGGAGAAGGAATTTTATGTGGCTGAGGAGTTGGGTCACGCTCTCTGAGTCAGTGAGAGGGGTTCGCGGTGGAGTTGTGGGTGGTGCGTTTGTGGGGTCTCCGGCGAAGGGAATGCTTGAGATGCAAAAGCTGTCTTCTGACCAACACACACTCTCGCGCCTGAACGCTGCACTGGCAAGTCGTTTTCCAGTTTGGAGAAGAACCATTGCATCCTCCATTAGGCCCAAATGGCAACATGCTTCCCCCAATACCAAGTATCTGTTGTTTCCATTCCATACACAAACTCAGTCAAACAATAGTAATAAAAAACATGTGATGGCTAATTACAAATTTTAACTAAATTACATTTAATTTGTTGTCCAGGTATACATTATTTATAAAACTCTCAATGGTTGATTTTCTAATTCACGTGCATTACCTGTCTAATACTTTTATGTTAGAAACATGTACTTAAAGGGGAATAGTGTGTAACGAAAGAGAGATGAGATGGGATAGTTATGTGCCTATGTCTACCAGGCGTATGGAATTTAAGCAACTTGTTCAAAGCCAATTCAGTATTCAGATTTGAGATATAGTATGCTACATTTTGTTTTGTTTTCCCCTTGAAGAAGCCACGAAGAGGAAGGCTATACTTTTTGAGATAAAAACAAACAAGTAAAAACAAATCTAGCGTACAATTTACAAGTCTAATTGATAAAAAGGAAATGGGTCTTACGTAAGCACCTCTGTTTCAATTTAAAAAATTCTAAGATGTCCTCTTTAAATAAGGAAAAAATTAGGACATATTTTATACTTTCAAGACATTAACTACGTACATAATTTCGCTTAATATTTACTTTATAAAATATTGAGAAGATTTATGAAAAGATACAGCGTTATTAAGAAACCAGAACAGTTAATACTTTAGTTGTGCATTGAATATGATTGGGTTTTTTTCAAAATAAAAAAGCTGGAAAGCATTTGCGTGGGTGGCACGAGCATTTACTCAAAACCCATTTGAGTACTTACTTCGATCTGATCTCAAACTTAAATAATAAAAGCCATTAAATTAAAAGCCGATTCTGAAAACGAAGAAATTCCATTTTTAAAACCCCATAAAAACGAGAGTCAGATAATAGCAAAGCAAAGCAAAAACCAATGAAACAGAATAATGCTAGTGTCAGTCATGGAAAATTACCTCCATTGCCCTTCCTTCGCGCAACTTTTACACAGCCCTGCCATCACCTTCTTCTTCAGGTCAGACACAGAGAAGCACTTAAAACTCTGATCCCCAACCGGTGAATCCGACGAGAGAAGCTTCACTCCCTCCCTCGAAAGCTGCTGAGAAGAGGTATCAGAAGAAACAGAGGAAGAATCATCGCTCGCCATTCTCAGGCTCGGAATGTAGTCTTGAAGCATATCAGCTACATCTTTGAATCGGCGCAAATAGAGTAGCGCCCGGGCTCTCAACTCAAGAGCTTGGTCCAGCCGCGGCGAAATGGCTAGAGCCGCGTCTAGAAGGTTGAGAGCCGAAGCGATCTCGCTCTGTTCTTGAGTCGCAATAAGACTACGAGCATCTTTGATGTATTTTTCAACAATCTACAAAACACAAATGTGTGTCATTTCAAACATTTCTTAAGACACAATCTTACATTAATTTCCCCAAAATAATAGATAAAAGGGTAAAAGGGTGTGATACCTTACCTTTCGGTTGGTAAGCCACCAGTGTTTTTTTTCTGTGGCGTTTAGAGTGTGAGTAGTGACGGCCATGTTTGGGTGCCTGCAAAGGATTCAATATTGGACCGTGAAATAATGAAACCCCAATTTTCTCTCCCTTTTCCCTCCCTCCTAATCAAATCAAAACAGGCACATAATTTGTGCGCTCTAATAATAACAAAGGGAGAGGAATATATAAGGGCAGAACAAGATAGAGAGAACAGTGTGTCGAGTTTGAGAGATGGAAAATGCGGTCAGGGAGTAGGGAGAACAAATGAAGCATTTTTATACACGGGGATTTCGTGTAAATGTAAAAATACAAAGGGAGGGGGGGGAAATAAAAATAAAAAATTGACAGCTTTGACCCTCATCCAAAGCTTTCATCCTTCAAATTCATAGCTGGCAACACACAGCAGATTCTCTCACACACCCACAACCTATATGCATCCCCTCTTAGGTCTATGGCCCTAATACTAATATTTATTTATGATTTGTTACCTGACTCAGCCGGTGACTTCATCATTATTACTGGATATAGCCAGTGACCCATCACGGGTCCTCTGTTTCAAGGTTCAACTACCGGGAAAAGATAACTCCAGCTAAATGCCCCAAAAGTAAGCAAAGCTTGTAAGAAGATCCCCTTCTTATTTATTTCTAGTAGCCTACTCAATTACGGGTTTACCCTTGTATACGTTGACCCAATGTTTCTGTGATCCAGGCACCTGATCATTTTCTTTCTTTTCGTTTTTATTATTCTTCTACACTTACAATCACCCTTCTTTCTGTCCCTTTCGCGTAACACCCATGATTGATTCAATTAGAATTGTGAATAAAGATGCCGAAAAATAGTAGCTCCACATGTGAGCTCCGAGGGTAATTGATGAAACAAACCCAGTAAATTACTCCCTCTTAGTAATAAAACAAACCGTGATCGCGGGGGGTCTTTAGCCTTTAGACATTCTTTGTGTCACAAAAGGAGGTACATACACAAATAATGACCAATCAAGGATTCACTTTGACATTAAACACACCTTTTTTCCTCATTGCTATTGAATGATTATTCCGATTTATAACTTTTCAAGTTGCAATAATCACAGTGAACGGGACAGGCCATCCATAATTTGCCCATTACCATAATTTGACAAGTAGATATTATCAGTACACAAGAGGGTATCATGAGCTTTTGAACCGATATATCATGGAGCCAATTTTTATATACTAATTTTCCAACTCATCTCTAAGCAAATATTTTGTTTTCTTTGGAACAAAATGCTTGTTTCTGGTATGTTAGATTGCAGTTTGGCTGATAAATACAAGCACTCTATAGTTGTCAACTTACGGGACTGATAAAGAAAGGGGCATAAGAAGAAGTGAGGGCAAAATGGTGAGAATAGGAGAGTGTGAGGATGTATTAGTAAAAAGGGAGCATATTTATGGGGAGTGAGAAAGCGACTCTTCTCTCGTAAGCCACAGGAATCATGCTTTTTCTTTTGGGAGGGTTTGCTTTGCTTTTTATTTCACCCACATTGATTAATGAATGCACATGAATTGGGATTAGATAGCCAGATGGGTTTGTCTTTAAGGCTCTCTAACTTCCCTTTCCATTGCCCCCACAATCGCATTATAAATGGCACAGTGCCTACAATCTCGTGGATTGCATTTGATATTCCCCTCTCCCTAGTCACTTAGTCCCCCACACCTTGCCATGTCACCCTACTCAAGCCAGCCTGTCTCCACGTGGCATTTCTCAATTTTAAGGCCCACACCCCAAGCACTCTCCCATTTCCATCCCCATATATATCCAATTTATATAGATAAACCTCAGTTTTTGGAGCCTGCCCTTTGTTTTTGTTCTTCTCCTTTCTGGACCAGTGCTATCATTGTGTGTATATAATAATCACTCCTAACATGATCAATGATTTCACTTTTAATAACCTACGAACAATTCAATTCCTATATACATTTTCATTTTCCCCCATCCTACTCTATTTTTTTTCCCTCAAATAATTGCACCTGAATTTCCTTTATGCTCTGGACATTCTTTATTCATGTTCTGCCACATGACTCCGATTATCCACTCTCCAAAACGCAACTAAATCATCATGCAAAGCATTACCTCTTACCCCCCTCAAATAATGGACCAGTATGCTTGATCTATTTGAATGGGTAAATAGTCTCTAGTACTTAATCCCATGTAACAACTATATTTAATCTAGTTAAATAATATTTAAATTCTAACTACTTTATTTTATCTATCAACAATATTTTATGTCTTTTCTTTCCCCTCTCAGATTTTTTTTTAAACAATCTCAGTTTTTCATCTTTAACAATAGACCTTTATATAATTATGTGTGCAGAATCTGGTCAATGATAAAAAAAAAATTTGAAAGGTAAATCCTGTGTTATTTTTAAAAATTTTCAGCATACCGTATATAAAAAATTTTAATTAATAATATTTAAACATGTATTTAAATGATAAATTTATTTAATAATAAATTATTATATTTATTATATTTGAACAAGTTAAAAAGTGATTAAGTTTTTGAATAGAATTAGAATGTAATTAAAATTAAATAAATTAAAATTTAAAAATAAAATAATATTATATTAATATTTTTTTTATATTTTTAATTTTATTATTATTAATATTTAATTATTATATTAATATATTATGTTATAATTATTTTTATTTATAATAAATAAAAATTATATTCTATTTAAAATTAAAAATATTTATACATGTATTTAAATAATAAATTTATTTAATAATAAAATATTATATTTGTTATATTTAAACAAGCTCAAAAATAATTAAGTCCTTAAAAAAGAATAAAATGCAATTAAAATTAAACTAACTAAAATTTAAAAATAAAATAATAAAATAATATTAATATATTTTTAATTTTATTATTATTAATATTTAATTATTATATTAATATATTATGTTATAATTTTTATTTATAATAAATAAAATTTATTTAAATATAAATTATATTTTATTCAAAATTAAATATTTATAAAAAATTAATATAATATATATAAAATAAAATTATATAATAAATAATATAATTTTAAATAAATTGATAATCTTTTAGTTATATTAATCATATAACAATTACATTCAACACTCTTTTATAATATTATTTTTCTCTTTATCTCCCTCCATGTATTACCCTTTTATCTCACATATTTTCTTTTTCTTTTCCTATCCCTCTCATATACCGTTTTTTATAAATTTAAACGGAAATTTTTTTTGTCAAATTCTCACTGACGAATGTTAATTAAAAGCCAAGTAGCGAAGAAGAAAAGTAAGAAAGATGCATGAATTTATTGCATAAATAACATGAATTGATGACCAATTAGTGCAACTATTATTTAATTTAAAAAACATTAAAATTAATTAAGCTTTTCTGGGTGCAAATTTTATGATTTTTAAATTTAAATCACTGATGAAAAAAAAATCTGGTCATTTATTCATTCCACGGTAGATATAATTCCTTTCAAAATCTAGATGTGGATAAATGGAACAACAATTCCGGCATAGGATTTACCCGAGAAGTAAAAGACCGACACGATTCTTCTTTCTAGCTTTAAAGTATCACATATTATATTATAAGCATTAAAAAATTGTATCACGAATATATTATATGATTTTATTTAATAAAAATAAATATCATACTATAAACTTTCATTTGAAAACATTGCACAAATATTAATTTTAAAGCAGTCACTTTTATTTTTTTTTACACAAATGGAGTATTTTTTTAAAAATACTCAATTAGTGTAATTTTAAAAAAATGACCAAAATAGTATAAGTCATGCATGTAAAATACAACTTATACATATTTTAATTTTTTGTGTGTGAATAAAATTATGACAATTTTATACATAAATTTTTAACAATTTTTACAGCCACAAACTTTTGCAGTAAAAAACTATAAAAAGAAATGTATTTAAAATTGTCATAAATTTATACATTTAAAAATTTTAAAAATTAAGTCATGAAACATAAATTTGACTTACTTTATTTAAATAAAATTGCGTTAAAAAACATTTTTTAAAAACTTTATGAACCTCTAAAGTTACTATAAATAACACACGGTGTGTCATAGTTTAGGCGACCTACCGTAGCCAACTCCCATCCTATAATTTGGCTGCATTAAAATCTTATTATATTTAAATGTTTAAACTCAATCATGAAATTCAATAATAAGAAAGTCAATTAATATATATGTAATATATATAAATATTTTATTAAAAATAATTTATTACATTAAAATATAATAAATATTTCTTAATTTTAAGTTTAATTTAATGTTGTTTAGTTATAGTTCCCCAATAAATTACACAATTTAATGGTTCACCACAAAAGTCATTGAATCACCTAAAACAATATGCTACACGGATGTGCATACACACATTGTTTATCTATTTCCGTATTTTTTCCCTACACACTTTATTTATCAATTTTACTTACTCTTCTCTAAGGTTTAAATAAAATTATATTTTTTTATTCTATCTTAAAATTTCATTTTTTACTACATTTTATGAGAGGTTTGGTATATAGAATCTTATCACCTTTTTCATAATGCTATAAATATAATTATTATATTAAAAAAAGTGATAAGCACCATTATGAGTATAGTTACAAATTTTTTGCTTACATGAAATTTCTAAATTATTAACGGTTTATTGGAATCTTTTATTGAAAACCACAATTTAAAATTTTATCTTTAAAGTGTTAATTGATCAAAAATATATTTTTAAAATTTTTATTCTAAACATAAAAATCTATCATTTTCAACTTAAAAATCCTAAAAGTGATATATTTACCAAAGACTTCAAAGTGTTATAAAATTAGTAGTTTTTTTTTATCAATTTAAAACAAATGAAAATACTGAAATTTTATTTTAGAAAGTGAATTTATAATATTTTCCTTGATTAAAGATTATATTAGTAACACTTTATGTTATAAATATACTAAATTTCTGTCACAAATATTTTGAATATGAACTAATGCTTTTCATTAATAAATGATTAAAATGATAATAAAGGACATGTTAAGGTGATTTATATTGATTAAGAATACAGTAAAAAAAAATTAATGTTGGGCATGTAAATATATAGTTCAACAAACTTGATACAGTACACATTAACATGAGGAGTGTGTATATTAAGATGATATGTATTAGTTAAAAACATGACTACTTATAATAGAGTATCTCATATATTTTATTAATAAAATTTGTTATATTT